TCTCTCTCTCTCTCTCTCTCTCTCTGTCTCTCTCTCTCTCTGTCTCACTCCATCTCTCTCTCTCTCTCTCTCTCTCCCTCTGCAGCGAAATCCAGGTTCTAGTGCTCCCAACACTTCAGCAGCCGCGTTCTGCTTTGAAGCYTRWKTTTAGAAACTAGCTCTCACGCTAAAGCGACAGTTCGCTCCTCCCACACTAAGAAAACAGGAGGGGTCAGCGGAGCTCCTGTGCAGCGGAGCACAGAGAGGGAGAGAGACGAAGTAAACAAACAAGCAGGAAAATGAAACTTATCGCCGTCTTTTTTTTACCGACCTCAAAAAAAGTTATCGTGCGATTAATTGATTTATTGACTATCGCGACAGGCCTATTCATACATGTTGATAAACTATCAGCTGAGTTGTGCCATGGTTCTAGGTGTTGCCCTTATGTTGTGTAACTGTTACTCCTGTTACTCTTTAAAAAAAAAGTCCTGCTGCTGCTGTTTCAGCCTTTTGCCAGGTGGTGACTTTGTGGTGAAAAGTGATAAAACCTTTTAGCTAGTGTGAACTTGTAGACAAAGTTAGTTAAATATGGACGAGTGAGCATCCCAGGATTAAGATAATTGAATGAATAAGATTCAGTTTCTATATATGAAATTAAACTGACAACAAGATGTTATAAACAAGAAAAATTAAGAGCAATATTAGTGACAGAGAGTTTTACCTCATTCTAGTTTCTGACTCCTGCTGCAGCCTGCAGCCTCTCACTCTGAGCCATTCAGAGGGAGGGGGGTGCGGGAGCGCAGTGAAATGACGCTGTGTAGTGCCTTCAAAATAAAAGCACGCGAGTTTCTTCCAGACATATGTGCCTTTCTCCAATATTGGGGGATGCACCCCCACCCCGCTTCCTACACATATGCTTATACATAACTTATATAACTTATACAAGCATATGACAGTATTTTTGACTTAAACACAAAATTAGTGTAACTTATGCAGAACTTAGGCATAGCACATTATAGCATATTGCAACAATCGTGACATCAGATTGGAGCAATCTTCCGAGTATGCCAGTATGTGGGACCAAGTTTTCATACATTGGCATAAATTGTCCGAAACACTTTAGAATGACAGGACATTAAGGTCCAGTTTCTTTAAATCCTCATGATTTTCCAGTAATTTATCAGATTAAATTAACCAGATTGAAAATTTGAGAACAGATGTGGCCATACTGAGTGTGTGTGAAAAAATCCGCTTGCAACACGGGTTTAACCAAAAAATAAAAAATAAAAGGTTTGTAGAGTTTTATGAGTATCAGGCCAAAACAAACACAAAGTATTACATTTAAAAAAAAGAAAAATAGGGGAGTTTTATTGGACAAAACTCCCAGACACTGCCAAGGGAATAAAGGCTTTAGAGCTGTTTCTTTGGTTCTCATACCCTGGGAAACTACAAAATAAAAACATTAGAAATAACATCTCTAAAATGTGCTGATTTATCAAAACATCTTGTACATTTTATAGCAATGTTAAATCTGAGGGACAGTTGACATCTTTTAAGTTTAACTCCTTTACTCATGTGAATAATTATTGGAAATGTATATTGGGTCGCAAAAAATCGAAACCCTACTTGATTCAGAACTTGGTTAAGATCCTAAAAACAGAGACGCGGAGGAATGCTGCTGTCAGGCTCAACAACCGGGTCATCCAAGGACATGAGCCTGCATCTGTGTTTGAGCGTGTGAGAGAGAGAAGGCGCTGCAGGATGTGTGGTGACTACCTCAATCAATTGAAAGCACATGCAGAGCTCAACAGTCAATAAAAGTATGTAAACAACAACAAAATCTCTCATATAAAGCAGATGCACTCACACATGACAAATGTGTGCACATAAAGACCACTTATAGCATCTTGAACCTATAACAGATGTTTAACAAAGGAGATCTTAATAAGTCTATAAAATGTAAAACTGATCAACTAAAAGTACACAGTTCCAGTTGGTGGGTGGTTTGTAACTATTCTCCCCTCCAGATTTTTACTTCTTGTGGAGAAGTGGTGATTAACTGTTCATGTTAACCCTTGTAGGCCAACTAATGACTTAAAAACCAAGGTAAAAACAAATCCTTTTTTACTTACCAAGCTAAAAACACACGAACAAATAATTTTATGAACTGAACAGATATTACTTTCTTGAACCTTGTTTCTGCTAATACATTTACAAAGAAAACATTTTAAAAATAATAAATAAGTCCTGTCCCTAAAGTAATCCATCCATCCATCTTACCCTCTCATCCACCAGGAAAACTCCAACACACAGGAACCAAGCCAGGGGGCTATAAGTAGACACACAGTAGATCCTTGTTCTTCTCTGTCCATACAAGTATTCTGATTCTTGAAGTTTTCTTTAAGTATAAATGTATTTCCTGTACAGAAAATGCTGTTTGTCTACTATAATGTATGTACATGCACTTATCTGTTCCCTAATAACATATGGAGGTGCCACGGTTTACATTTGTTTACAATTGATCTGCTAGTGGCCAGAATCTGTCCAGTGATATGTMAACAAAGTTGTGCTTTTCTTTCTAACAGCTGCTTGTTCTGGATTGACACTGTGCCAAAAATCCAAACAGCGTGACTACAGAATAATGTGACTTGAAGATGGGTCAGTGACTAATCCACCTCCATATCATCAAGACGTCATGAGGAACTCATTGCCATTAAAAACAAACAATGTATTGTTTTAGTGATAACTCRAGCAGGAAAAATGTGTAGTCCATAAAAAGAGCCTGTTTACAGCTGTTACATAAAACACCTGTTGCGCCAAGTTAACACAAAACAGCAAAGCCATCAGTCGTCCGGCGTGAGAAAAGACTTCCTTCCTTAAAGCCCACTCTCTAGACAAAAAGGATCAAATCATGAATGAAAAATTACGGCTGTCCTCAGGCGTCCATATGTGGCCGGCAATGGTCGTACACACGGCTGTTTTGCTTTGATTGAGGCTGACTGACTGATCTTAGAGAAAAGAACAGATAAACAGGGCCTCTAGTCCAAAGACAGAAATATAGGAGGGAAGAGGGATGAACAATATTAGACACAGTGAAAGTGGAAGTGTGTGTGGGGTGGGGTGGGGTGGGGTGATAGATGCGTGCATATCTGCAAGTACTGTAAGCGTTGTTACTTGTGTTTCTATTTGCAGAGTGTGGTGATATATAAAAAAAAACTAAATTATTGGCTTGACAAAATATATTTAAACAGGCATTACATAAACAGCTTAGTAATTTGCATCATTTGGTCATTTACATCGAGTTTTTAAAACTTTCAAGATGATGTAATTTTCTAACTGCTTTATTATTTTACTTGTATTACAACTTTTTTTTCAAGGTTCAAACCTGTTGTAAAAATGAATTCCAAACTTTTTAAAACAAAAGGGAGCTATTAATTTTGTAACTAAAACTTTTTGTTACATTTTCGTGCTTCCGATAAAAATAAAAGACACACTCACCTGTCCATCCTGACTTACATGCACCTGGTGGATCTGAAGGTTTCCCTGAAAAAAAAAAAACATACATATATTTTTAAAGCCATGCCAGTCTACCTAATGAGACCATAAATTATTAAATTTTAATGTCATAAATATGTGAAAATCAGCAGGACAGATGTCACAAATTGATCTAAGTCAATGAATGGTGTCAAACTGATCTCTTCTTATTAACTAAACATGGAAAGCCAATGTCAACAACTGAGAAGTGTCAGAACTGTTTGCTTTTGCCAACTCCTGCATGATCAGACAGAGTTTCTCAGCATGCAGACGTTGGCAGTGTTTATACTTTTCTTAATGAGAAGTGAATGACATGCCCTTGTATTGATGTCAATGACTGTATTATTTCTGGCTACATCAAGGCTTCTGTAAACAAAACAAATCCGCTTACGACTCTGTAACTATTGTAAAACCTTTGAGCGCCCACAATCATGTTAACAAAGGCATACAAGAAAGAATTTCCCCCAGTCTCTGCTGTGTTTTTTTTTCTTTCTTTATAAATGTATTTCATGCATACTTTCAATATAGTCTTAGCTTTCACATGCACAGGCAGCAGCGCAAAATCCGAAGCAGTTAATTTCCTTTTCAAGCACGCTAAAGCGAATGTCTTTGATGAAAGGGCCCCATTTCTAATGAAAACATATTCTGCTGCGAGTGGCAGCTGGCAGAAGTAGGATTTTGTTGCTAAGCTTTGAACTCTAAAAAACAAATAATATCTTGAAATAGGAAGGAGAGTGTAGAAAAAAAATCTGGACTCAACCACAAAGCGCAGGAAACGCTTAAGAGGTTTTCTGCCTTCAATTTATTGTGTCTCTCTTGCATATTTGCATTGCTTCCAACTTGTCCTTTACCACTACAAATAAATAGGAAATGAGAAAAACATTTGGTAAAGGTGTCAACTGCTTTTGCACAAAAGTCAAGCTGTCATCCATGTATGACATGTATCATGTTGAGTGTTTGATTACATGTACGAGTGTGTACACAGACTGGCGCCTTGAACCAAATCTTTTCCACATCCTTGAAAAATCATTAACAGTGATGCTGATGCAGAAATTCCTCTTAAGCAGATTCTGTGGTTTTGAGTTAAAATGCGATTTTAACTGGCAAGTTGTGTGTATATATAAATACATCTTATGGGGGGACAATGAGTCACCTGAGCATTAAAAGGAAACCAACCTTTCTGCATAAGCTGTTATTTAAACTACATAAATAATATGATGCACTATATTAGGGTTGGGCATAATCGTATCGTCTGCAATTAATCGTCAGAAAAACATTAATCGATTATTTTTTGGCACTTGACGATTAATACGATTAATGCCACAAGGCAGACTGGCTGGAGATTTCCCCGGTCAGTTCGCTCAGTGCTCCTCTCCGCTTCAAATATGACGAACATTTAAACAAAAGTTCTGTAATTTATTATCAACACAATTTAAAATTTGAAAAGTAGCCTGAAGTCTGTGATTTTGACACAGTTTGAAAAAGATTTTTACGAAGAGCAAATCTGTCCCACTAAATTGGTCATGTGACTAGAACATAAGGGTGTCCAGGGACTCCAGGGGATTAATCGTCAAATTAATCGTTGTCGGCTCAACACCACAATTAATCATGATTAATTTTATTGCGAATATCGCCCAACCCTACACTATATAGAATTTTTGGTTTTGTAGTTATTCGCTCATGTCTTAAACTCTGGCAAGTATTGCTTGAATGCTTTCACCTTCTGTTTGCATTGAAAAGTAGAAACAAACAAAACGGCTCAGATAACAAAAGGTATTCCTTTCTAGACCTACTTTCATTGGACACTTTGCTTCACTTTGAGCGTGAACTAACTTACAAAATATATATATTTCCTTCTAATGAGACAAAACAGGAAAACGCATGCCATTATAATTACTACGGACAATTGAAAACATCAAGTTAATCCCTGTCAGTGTAGTCTCACTAAATTGCTTATCATCTACAAACTGGCATTCCAAAAATCACTGCCGATACCAGTCATTAAATGCTCCGTCAACTTCTCAAGCATGAATGAACTGTAACAGTTATTCTCTGTGTGGAAACAAATTTCCTTAAGAGAGATATCGGCTGAGAAATTCAATACACCGGGAGGAGATGACTCAAGGAAACTGGTGAACTMAGTCTCAGCCTCTGTCACTCGTGCCCACATAAACACTTGCCTCGCTGTCCTGTGTGATCTGCACCTCCTCCCCTTGGGGCACTTGGGCAATGTGCAGCTGTCCCTGTGGAATCTGAGGAGACAGATATAAAGAATTACACAAAATTATAAGCAATTAACAGAATCAAAATCAGCTTTYTTGGCCAAGCATGTTGACACATATAAGGAATTTGTTTGCGGCAGATGATGTCTCTCCAACAGACATACAATATACACAGTGATGGAAGCACAATAGCATAAGACATAAACAATATAGTCGATGGATTATATACAATAATATATACATTAGGCACTAGTTAAGAGGTCTAGTAATTGGGATTGTTCATCAAGGAAATGGCCTGGGGGAAGAAGCTGTTTTTGTGTCTGGATGTTTTTGAGCATGAGGCTCTACGGCGCCTGCCGGAGGGGAGAAGTTGAAAGAGGCTACGTCCTGGATATGTGGAGTCTGACATGATTTTCTCTGCCCGTTTCCTGGTTCTTGTGGTGTACAGGCKCTGAAACGTGGGCAGGGGAACACCAACGACTCTCTCAGCTGACCTGATTGTTCGTTTATATTGTTCAATTATACAGATGAATGAGAAATCCCAAATAAAAGGAAAGGTATTTTTGTCAATCTGACAACAAATAACAACACAATTACTAGTTGTACTAATAAAAGCGAACATTTTGACTGTAGCAGTGGAAGTTATCTGCCTTTGTTTTGCCTAACCTAGTATTGGAACCATGTGAAAAACAAATGTGTTGCAGATTTTGTTCCTCCTCACTTTAAGTCATTATTTAGGAATTTTCTAATAGCCAGCATGATCAGAAAAAAAAACAATGTGGCCAAATACACTTTGTGTAGCACTGCAGACGTAAAAATGGGATATATAAACCATAAAAAAATTTTAATTGAATTTTTCATATACCTTACAATATTTTATCCTACAATTACAAAGTGATAAGTATTGAGAAGGCAGGTTCACCTGCTCAAGAACATTGCCAAATGTGATGAATGAGTGAACCATCAACCATTTTGTTGAAAAAAATAACCAATTTTTTTTTCTACTTAATGATACTTTTACTTTTTTGTTCTACAAATTCAGCAAGATAACTAGAGATAGAAAGCCAAGACACTCACCACCTGAACTTGTCCATCTTCACCAATGCGGTGGAACTGGACCTGCTGGTTGGCCAGTGTGTAATGCAAAGTCTGCTGCGTGGCAGCCTCAATGTGGGAAGACTCTTCTGACATGTTTTCATCTGCAGAGAAGGACAGGGCGTCGGGTCATCGTTGTACTCTGGTTTGTAGTGAATGGTGGAAATCAGAGGTAGAGTCCAACTAACTCCAGTTCCACACATCTAAACGCACGATAAGTCATCAACCACATTTACGACCAGACAAACTCTAGTGGTCAGTCACTACACACACAGACTGCGGTTTCATCTGTTTCCCTCTGCAAACTCACGCCAACCAGAATCCAGTTTTTATTTACGTTAAAATGAACTAAGATAACATATCACAAACAGCAGTTTGAAAAAAATGCCTTCAGTCTCGTTACAGCCCTGTAATATAAAATGTAAATAATAATTAGTACTTTGATTCACCAGATGAAGAAAGAATTGCCAGGTGGCTTTTGGAGGCTCTATATTTTGTCTGAGTGATGCAAATTAGTTATGAARGGTTCCTTTTACCCTGTTTGTTTAACGTGTAATTTGATAAAGGATAGAATGACTGTTTGGTCTCTTTTGTGTATTGCGTGCTGAAGGATGCACCATCTGAACTAGCATTTGTGTTTTTATACTCTGGGGTTTGTTTGGCTTGTAAAGGAAGGGCCTAATGATCCATCCCAAGTGTGTGCTCACAGGATATTTGTGTTTCCCCCTAAGTCAAACGTCTCCCTGGTCAGAGGTGAGGGGTGATGGCTTACAGCACAGCAGGCATTGTCTGGAGATAGCAAACATTTGAAGCATCACACTTTATAACGGTACTTAGGGCAAAAGCTTTCAAACAGCAGATAAAATAGAATGACTGAGTTCACAGCCTGTCACTGGGCCAACTGCACGAACTGACAGCGCACGATTAATAGTTTTCATAACCATAAATTACATTCTGCTTCACTGAAACTATTAAAAGAACCCTCAAAACAAGTGGTGCTGAAACCACAACGTAAACATAACATGTATGACTAACCACAATTATTCCAATACAATTACAATATTTACATATATTCATAAAATTGTTATTCATTGCATGTTGCTGAAGTTAAATGTATATTTGATAGCACATGCTGGAGTTTTCACACACAGAAATGTGACCCCTCTTCTTTACCTGCAGCTGTACTGCGTGGTGTGCGTTTGGAGAAGCTCTTGACGGCCAAACTCTGGCCACGCTGCTTGCGTCTCCAGGCTGTACGACACTTGGAATCTATGCTTTGCTTTATCCGGTACCAGTCTGACTCACTGATGCCAAATTTGTGGAACAAGTGACCTGTGAAGACATGGAGAAATGAAGCATAGTTATCAATTTATAAGTGAAAAACCTGGGCAGAAGATGTGCTTAAGCAAAATATATACAAACTCTGCCGACTTAATATCAATTCATCTTATGTTGTCATTGAAGCCATACCACCTTTTATAGAAACTTGCAAAATGGCAAATTACAAAGAAACACCCAATGCCAACTTTTTCCAGAAACAAGCTAGACAATTTTAACAGTGCTGCTTCTTCTGGAACCAACAAAGAAATGAGAAAAAAAATATAAAGTAAAAATAAAAGGTAATAACTGTCTGAATTCTGTTGACTTCTCCACACCTACTGGCAAGTTAACACAAGTCTGACCGTCTCTCACCATCCCTCTGCATGGAGATATGTACAGGTGTACTTAGTGGCTGTCTAACCCACATTATAAATAGTTCAGAGGGCGAGAGCCACCTGACAGCTCATTTCTATTTAAGTTAGCAACCTGGCTGCAACCTTTACAACCTGAGGATAGGAAAATGAGACAGAAGGTTATCTGATGGTAACAGGATGACACTATGCGGCAGCCCCTTTGCACCTGATGAGTCCTGCACAGGCAAGCAAGACAGGTGCTCCTTCATTCTTTTTTTTTTCTTTCCCCATTCAGAATGACTCACCCAAATGTCAACCAGATACGCTCCTGGCTCTGCATACTTATGTGTCAGGCAGACCAAATGTGCATGCACAAACTGCCAAGTGGACATGTAGGTAACCAAAACCAAAGAACTTTTTTTGTTACTGGATCAATAGTGAAACTGAAAAAAGAAAAAGATCATAATTGTTTGTATGTATGCTGCAAAYAGTCAGACTTAAAGGGGAGATAAAATAACAGTATTTTCACAAGCTCTACAAATGAACATAGTGGTTTAGACAAAAAAAAACAACAAAGATAACATTGTTGAAAAAGAGGAAAAAAGATAAGCTAATGCCAGACTTCTTTTTCRATCTCTGCACAGCTAGCCAAGTAGCCTGCAGTAGGTTTTAAAAAATTATTCTTTTCTAATAAAATTTTACAGCAATTGGACAAAAATGGGAAGAATGGAAGGAGGGGGTATACAACCTCGTCCCARGAGAGGTACGACACAGTCTTAATCCCACTATGTATATAATGAGGGAAAAACAATTAAATAGACATAAACTAAACTCTATGGGACAGGGTAAAGCTGACAGTCATTCTTCAAGCCCCAATACAAATCATTTAAATGTAAAAAATATGGACAAAGGACTTTCACGAAAATAAATCTGTCAACCACAGATGGCCTTGAAGGCCTTCCACGGCTCGGAGCAACTAATTTGAGAGTGACTGCGTTAACATCTTTCTACCAGACATGTGCATGTCATCTGGACTTTGGTATGTACTAAAATGTGTTGCACATTAATGTGAGTATTCTATGATTAAAGCATGTTGTTGTAAGCCACCTTGGGAATACAGATTGTGGCCTATTTCTGTGTTCTATTCAACTTTGCTCCATAATGCAGCAGGAATAAAACATGGGAAGGTCCCGGAGAGTTCATTTAAGCCACGAAGACAAAAACGTTTTACACCTCCAAAATCAGCAGCGTAAATGTATGTGTTTAATTTTTACTACTGTATATTTAAATTATGTGATAATCTTCAGATATATATAGTGATTACTGGACTCTGGCTGGATGGGCATATTACCTACTATCAAGGATTCATAAGTTCATATAGCTCTGATATAGTCGCGTAGAGTTGGTTGTGGCATTTTCTAAACATACACTCACATAGACATTGTTGTGAGGCGTAAAGTGTGTGCAGGAAAATTGTGCATGCAAAGAAACTGTTACAGACTATTTTTTCCAGCTCAAAGTGAATTGAATTGATGCAAAAACTTGCCAATGGKAGACAGAAAAGGTTTACGTCTTACAGCGTATTCCATAGATCATGAGTGGGTCCAGCTGCTTCTTTCCATGTTTCCCCTGCCCGGAGAGATTAGACATGGCCTGGACCTCTCGGTGGAACAGGTAGTCCAAAAGCGTTAGTGCCATTTTCTCTGCTGTACGGCAGTTTGTGCTTATATACAGCATGTCAGACTGAGAAATTGGGCAACGGACTCGCATCTCTGGGTTGCTCTCATCTCCCAACCAAGTGCCTTCTGGATGATCATCTATGAGGAAATAACAGAAGATACAACGCAGTTCTTTAAACACAAGCTGCAGTGCTCTTTTACAGTTAATTTGTAAACTAGTGTGCAACACTCTGTAAACTCTACCTGGACTGATTTAACTGAAAAAAAGGCTAAATATATGATTTACAGGCTGGCAAACACTACAAAGGACACAGACATTCAGAGTCACTTCATGTAATACAATAGCACACCCATGTGGCTGTACAGAAAAGTGGAGAAAATAGTTTATTTGGTCGTTTGCTGACAGCATATGTTAATTGCTTAGTATACCACATTAACAAGGCATAGGCAGATGGTACCAGCTAATGTTGACTACAACAATTCAATTGTTACAACATGTAGTGGAAAAACAAGAATTTTACTTCTTTGAAGTTGCCCAAGAACTTCCTTCTATAAAAATTACTAACTAAGAAACACAGAAATGAAAACAAAGGGGATTTGATTTTCTTTTAAACAGTTAAAGAGAAACCATCACTTTCTGGGCTCAGTCAAGTTACAGAATCAGTGTAGTCTAAGATAGAAAGCCTCACATATATGACCAGTTCACATTCCTTTATTTAAAAATTAATTGTTTAAAACATTTATAATCCATGCAGAATGCATGTCATCTAGACAAAACCATAAAACAGAGACTAAACTCACTTGGTCTTGGTACTTGTAGGACACCAGGCCCAGAATTTGTTCTGAGATGCTAAAGCAGGGTTTACTAATGTGCAATAACTAGCTTAAGCTAATTGAAGGTAAATAAAAAATGTCAGACAAGAGATTTTAAACACATTGTTGTGTTTAAAATCTCTTGTCTGACAAGAGATTTTAAACACATTGTTGTGTTGTGAATGATAAACTGGATTAATAGATTGGAGTTTGAGGATAGTAAATGTATGTATTGTCTTAGGYTGCTGGGCAGGATTTAATACGGTCTCTATTCTCAAAACTCAACATAGCGAACACATTGTATACACTTAGAGCCTGAAAGAAAATAAGTTAAAGAACATGTTTGTGTTTTTGTTTCTGAATCAGTAGTAGGGTCTTACCTTCTGAATTGAGTGTTATAAGGGTGACATTTTGGCCATTTTGTGCACTGCCTGACTGACCACTGTTAGAAACYGAGTCACTGGCTTCTGAGCCACTGTCCTGCTCCTCCTGACTCTCTTCAGGCCCGGGTACCTTTACCAGGATTGTGTTCTGACGCTTCCTGACCGCTGTGCTGTGAACACAAATTACTTTATGTAAAACACTGACAGCACCCAATTGTTGGATCTGAAGAAAGAATTAGTATTCGCCTTAACGAAAAACTAGGGAAATTCAGAATTATTAATTATGAGGAACRGTGTTGAGACTGACTTGTGAGAAAGTGAGCTACTTACTTGCTGAGCAGGTTTTCTAGAGGAGTGTCTTCCTGATTTAAGGTCTTTGGGGCTTCTCTGCTCACAATCACATTTGTTTGTGGGACAACACTGAAATATAAAATCAAATCAGTTTGATAACATGAAGCTTTGGATGTGGCAAAGACAAATGCATTACATGAGCTCACAAATGGAAAAATAAAAATAAATTAAAAAKTACATATCAGCCATTTGATGGGGAAAAAAGGTAAATGAGCTAGTACTTGGAGCTTACCATCGCACTTTATTCCAAGTTTGAGTGGCACCCTGAGGTGACCCTGCAACCATAGGCACCTGCACAGGGCTCTTGGCACAGGGCAGTATGCTGTCAAGTCTGCGTCCAAGGGCTTTGCATGTAGCATCTAAGGACTGTAGCTTTGACTCAATTCCTTCCAGGCGTTGGCCAATTGAGTCGGTGAAAGAAACTAAAAGATTCTGAAATTAAAAATAATGCAGCTTATATTTTGCTTTTTAATTAGTAATATYTTAGTGCAGAAAATGAGTGTAAATGCTAATAGGACTTTGGACAATGCCCTTTACATGGAACTAGTACCTTAATAAAAGATAAGTCCTGATTGCTGCTGTTATTGTCCTGGATGTGGCTTAATTTCCGCTTTTTCTTCTGGTTTCTTTCMTCAGCATCTTCGTGATTGTCCAAGATGCCTGGCATGAAACAAATTTAGAAACAACTTCAAAAAAAAAAAAACAACAGTCAGACTCCTTGGCTGTTTCTGCTTCAATTCCACAGAGGTAAGAGAGATTTATTTTATACTGATAAAAAGTACAGCAAACTTTTAGTCAAAAAATAAAGGTCGAGTTTAAATGTAATTTATGCAAAAAAAATTGCCAAATTCTTAGTTAAGTGTCCATTTTTCATACTACTGCAACTGACTAAATGAGAACTTGCTTTCAGGTTGAAAAGAGATGAAAACGTTATTTATTCCATACTTATTACACACTAATTAATAAATAATGAATAAAACAGTACAATGKCATATTTTGCCTACAAAATCTTACCTGTACGGTTATCATGGTCAAAGTCCTCCACTGTTATTTGAACAATTTCATCCAACTCTTGTTGTGACATTGTTCACAGCTGGAATAAATAGRAGGATAATACTTATTAACTTGGTTCTATAAGGCTGGGTATCTTTACACTATACATATTGAGGCCTTTGTTMTTCTACCATTACTTGGATTTGCAACCAAAACTGTTTTAGCCATCTCAAATCCAATAAGCATTTTCAAAATGATGCCTCTAAAAAAGTTTTAATTGAATCTGAGTGCAATCAACAAGTGGGGTAAGAAAATGTATTATTTATATTCAAAAACACACTAAAAAATAGATGTGGATTTTAAGACTTTATCTTCACAGAAACTTACAGATAAAAACTGTTTTCTTACATTGCTCTGGAAAATCTGATTTCACTCAACACAGCCATCAAAGTGATTTTTACCATAACACATACTGCATAAGACTTGGATTTAAAGTGTTGACAATCAAACTTGTATCATGTCTAAAGGCAAAGGTTTTTACTTTGCTCTTTGTTTATGAGAAAGATTAGACAGTAGTTTAGATCTCTTTATTTTCAAATTGTGAGTTTTTGTTGGCTAGCAGCACATACCATTGCAGAGGAAAAAGTGTCCTTCATGAGGAATATTGTGATTTTGTAACAATTCATCAACTTATTTTTGCTTCTTCTTTGTATTCACCTTTATTGTCTTACAAAAGGCAATTACAACAGCCTAAGCAGCTATCAACTGTATGTACAGGTGCATCTCATAAAATGTTAATATGGTCAAAAAGTTTTTTTTTTTTTTCAGTCAGTTCAGAAAGTGAAACTCATATTACATAAAAATACTTTGAGCCTTTATTTCTTATATTAATTATTATGGCTTACAAATGTTATTTTATTTTTTTTAATTCAGTGTCTCAGAAAATTTAAACATTATAACCAGCTGTTTGTACTTTTGGCAGTGAGCCAAGAATTGTGCTTTATGTTAATA